TGTGTGTGTGTGTGTGTGTGTGTGTGTGTGTGTGTGTATACAATTAATATAATAAAACACAGACATAACCTAAACATTGCAACTGTAACGCTACAGTAGTAACAACATTACAACTAAATATTATAATACCATCGTGCATCACCATGTTATAAAYTTAYAATTAATTTTCACTATAATTTTGAAATCAGAAGATATACAACCAACGCTTTTAATATTATGATATGGGCAACTGTAAGTAATTATTTTTGATCAACGTTTATGCAAATAAACATTTCTATAAAATGTCGTCCTGTGCTAATCAAATACATTGCACATTATAGTGAAACATAGTTATCTTAGGTTGAATAGACAAATCTCTAGGTACTTATTAGTTATGAGTATTTAATTGTTAATAAGGCGGCTCAACAATATAAAACGTTTCATATTTTTCTATATACTATTAAGTTATAGTAGAATAAACTAGAAATATAATATTGTATATTTTCATCAATGGCCGTGGTTTTAAAAATGCAAATCTTTTCATTTTCTACCATTAGTTTTGATAAATGTAGTTTTAATATTTCTTAATTTTTCAAAAATTTTATTCAAATAATGAAATTACTTATCGGGTAAATAAAATTAAAAAAATACTTATTGATAGTTATCGTATAATTTCATTTATGTTGAAAAACATTTTTGTTATTAGTGTTTTTAACTCGAATATCATAAGTGAATGCTGACCAGATTCATAAATTATTTTTTTAAATATTATTTTTAATCCGACTAAGTGGTTCAGTAGCTTACCGTTTAGCATTGAGATGGAATATTGAATTATTGCTATTCATAATGCGTAAATGACTAATTTTAGATTCTGAGCAGAATGTATTGATTTCACAGTGATGTGTTTTTTAAATTTAATATGTGAATCCAGGTGACCTTGGCCTACGTTTAAAGCGTAGCTTTTACCGTTACTTACTAGTGCTTGCTCACGCCATGAAGTAGGTAGGTACTATTATTGAATATAGTTTCTTCAATCGAACCATCCAAGCATTTATTAGGCTTATTGTTAAAATATTTTTACAGATTGTACAAATTAAAATGAATATACAAAAAATAAATAATTATCTGAATCAATAAAAAAAAAAAATTTAGAACAGGCATCTGTGATAGGCAGTAGGTACCCTCAACTGAATTTAATTATATTTCTAGCATCAAAATCTGGAATTTTTAAAGTTTATCCTCTTTAGGGACCCATCTATAGACAGGATAATTTACCATTCATTTATTTATGTACACAAGAGCTATTTAGTTGAGCAAACGTCTATAAAAATTAAATTCTTAAATTTTATTATTTTAATGTTTGAAACGGTTATTATTTTCATAGTTAATAATTTGGAATATGACATTTTTATTTTTGTCTCACCATCGCTGGTGCATCCTGATATGTAACAAATCAATCTTTACACAACGACTTACTAATAGAAACAGTAAATGTACTTTCAAAACGCCATTATAAGTCTCACTGAATAAAACTGTCAACGAACATYAACCCCTTGRTTCAAAAAATGTTCTCAAATTTTATCYCTGACCAACTTCCACCAGACTGAAAAGAAACTAGAATATTACTCTGACAAAACAAACATAGAACCACACAATCACCTTTTCTACACCTATAGATAAGTAATTYAATCTAAGAAACTTTTACAAGGGGTGCAGGTGTTGCTTGTGGGTGACTTCCCCTATCAAGTGACCCATTTTATGTTTCATATAATATAATATTATTGTTATCGCAATGACTTATTGTACAAATTATGTGTATTATATATATTGTCTTTTTCTCCATTTTCAATTAAAAAAAAAAATTCGTCCGACTCTTTTTAACTTGTGAATTTTGCCAAAAAGGTTGCCGACCACTGAATTATAAAAATACAAATAAATGAATAATTGTCATTAAAATTMTCGGTGCACAGGAGGCGTACAGCAGAGCCCGATAAATGCCACACAAAATCAACGTGGGCCTCGTGGCGCTGGCCGCTCTGACGGCGGCCGTGTTGGCCGACCCGTCGGTGGACCGGCGGGCCAGCATGGGGTTCATGGGCATGCGGGGCAAAAAAGACCGAGACCAGGGTAGTGGTGGCGGAGGAAGTGGTGCCGACGAGACTTCCACCGCGGTCGACCTGGACAAGCGGACCCTGGTGTTCCGGCACCCGATGTTCGAGGGTGGTACCGGCTTCGGCGGTGGTCCGGCGGAGGGCTTCAAGCGGGCCAGCATGGGGTTCATGGGCATGCGCGGCAAGAAGGACTACTACAGCAACAACAAGGGCTCGGCGGCCGGGTTCTTCGGCATGCGTGGCAAGAAGGTTCCGTCCGCGAACGCGTTCTACGGCGTCCGCGGCAAGAAGTGGCCGGACCACGAGGACACCGTGGACGCGGATGTCCAAGGATYTCCGATATACATCCTGTACAGGATCATCGACGAACTCAAGTCAGAACTATCTGACCGGGGTGAGCGTTTTATTTTTACGACAACGACACTAATATGTATTTACTGACCACAACGGCAACGTCGGTTTACTCGATACAATTTATGGATGAGGCGTGAGTAAGGTTCGAGACAGAACAAAAAATTAACCGAAATTAATTATACTTAATTTTAAATAAATTTACGATAAAACTGAATTAATAATGTTTTTCAATTTACTTATACATCACGTCACTACAATATTATACACAACAAAATCCTTACATTTTGCATTATCAATGCAATATTTAAAATGAATATGGTTATTACGAAAATGCGATAAATTAATCGGTTCTGTCTTTATAAGGATTACAATCCCACTTGAACACTTATATCTAGTAGAATGATAGTAATATATTGAATACTTAACTGTTATTGAGTATTATCCCTTGACAAGTGGCACTTGTAGGCGATTTAGACGTTAACTGGTTTTATGCCATGCTGTATATTGAGTAGTGTTTCTCAATCTGTGTGCAGTGAAATTCCATGGACAATATTAATAATACTAATTGTTATTGGTATAAACATTTTACGGGCAGTTTAATGTATTTCATATTTTATTAGAATGTGATTTAACTAGAGTTTCTCTATAACCTAGACAAACACACAATTTCAAACTAAGTAATTTACTAAGTGGATTGGAAGTTTGGACACTTTGATTCAAAATCTTACACGCTTGGCAATTTGGGTGCAAATAGACAACGTTTGGACACATAAAAATATAACATAAAATATATATTATTGGATATGGAATCATAATTTTTCCTAGAAAAGCAGAGAATGATTGGGTACTCATAAACAAGATACGTTTTGGTACAATAAAACGAACATGATTTATAGGTACATAATATAATATTCACATACTATTAACGACTAAGCTACAAAAAAAACTGTATAGATTTTTTGGTATGATACATAACGATCAACGTATTTTTAAATTAAAGTTCCAAAAAGTTTTTGTCGGAAAATATTATTAACTATTTATAATACCGACCTCTTATTGACATCTTTTGGGTGACGATAATATAATATAATATATACCTAATAGTTAATAATTTACTAATACGCTKTTTTTTAAGCCCTCGAGAAATCAAGATTTTTCTTGTAGGTTTTTGTCCCTATATAGGTTGTATTACATATTATCATCTTAATCATTTAACACTAACTAATTAATTTTGGATGAGTGCAATATAATATATATATATACATCTATTGAAGTTTACCAGTCTATATAAACATAGGTAGGTGCAATTTTTATAAACTTAAATCATGAGGTCTGTCGGAATTTTTAGCTTCACAAACAAAATATTGCTCAATGTACATAACAAAACACACTGCATATGACAAATTTATTAAAAACACGCACTTAACGCGTGCTGGTCCCAAAATAATATTTGATTGTTTCCCTATTGTTGTTCRAATGTATACTCACTTAAATCCGTACGTGCCTTACATTTTTTTTTTTTTTACAAATTTTATGATTAAAAACTTAATATTGTTGGTCGGCCGATTTTTAACATACGTATAATAATGTCGATTGTTATTTATTATGCATTTATTGTTTCAGAGCGAACTTTGGTGGCGGCTAAATTCTTCGACGAAAAAGAAATACGTTAAATTTTGATTAATTTATTTTTAATAAGATTACCGTAGCATGAAATTAATACCTACTATATAAAATATGATTTTTGCTATTTAACATTGTTTAAGATRACTTATTTAGTAGTTAATATCTATGACGTTAAATAAACATTTTATTGATTGTATAAAGGAACTACATAATAACTAATTTATTTGTCTACATTATGTTATTACATTAGATAATTATATTATATTATATTGTTTACAACTATTAATTCCACGTTTTATTCTATCCATTTAATTTATCATCTGAAGGAAAAAACACAAATATTATGAATTATCGTGTGAAAAATAAATTCATTGATGTTAGTCATACCCGCTCGGTGAATCATTAATCTTTCTTCACATTCTTTTTTACTTACTTGACGTATTATTCAGATACAGTATATATAAAAAAAAAACATGATCATTAGTCACCACTATAATAATAACAATTGAATTCAGTAAAAATATTGATGAAAACAATTTTCAGCTGAAAATAATAGCCAACGATCGGTTTCATAATATTTGCGATTGTGGACTCGCGAACTTGACCAAACTATTATGTTTAATTCACAATACACATGCTTAAATTATCTTAAAAAAGATTGTTGTTGGAAATATAAATTATAATTGGCTCTGAAACTAGGATGACCTTTTCAATACCCATCGGGATGT